ATTGCTGATGTTGCTACTGCTGCTACCAACATACGGTTACTACTACCATTGCTGCTGCTGCTGCTACTATTACTATTGCTGATGTTGCTACTGCTGCTACCAACATACGGTTACTACTACCATTGCTGCTGCTGCTGCTACTATTACTATTGCTGATGTTGCTACTGCTGCTACCACCATACGGCTACTACTACTATTGCTGCTGTTGCTGCTGCTGCTACTGCTGCTACTACTACCATACGGCTACTACTACTACTGCTGCTGCTACTGCTGCTCCTGCTGCTGCTGCTGCCACTGCTACTGATGCTGCCATTGTGGCTTTGAAAGCCATGAGAGCGCTCTCTCGCTCGTACTAGTGATTTGTGCTCGCTTGATCACACTCAGCACCGTTGTGCAATCCACTGATTTCATCGAGCTTCGAGGCAACCTTTAAATCATTCAGAGCTTGCAGTGACCTGAGAATTGCAGGAGTGCATTAGAAACCAAGTGGCTATTCCCTTCTGGGCTATAAGCTGGTAATAAGGTATATACATATACACGTATACAACAATGAAAACTGACATTATTTTCAACTAAAATAAAAAGCTTTTTAAATCACGCACGTTCACACCAGTGTTAATGTTATAATCATTAGAGTAGGCTTCCTACGCCATATGTCAGTGGTGGACTCCCCCTGCCTCCTTCTCCTCCTCTTCCTCCTCTTCCTTCTCCTCCTCCACCTCAAGTTGTTGTTGTTGTTGTTGTTGTTGTTGTTGTTGTTGTTGTTGTTGTTGTTGTTCCTCTTCTTCTTCCCCGTCATTTACATGGGAGGCTGCTCCCTCCAATCCTTCTCCACCTCCTACCCCTCACATACCAATATAACCACCTCCCTTTTCTCCAACCACCCACGTGCAAGCAATTGCGCCGGCAGCCGTGTACTAGTGGCGGTGATCACTGGCCCACTAGCTCATACACTGACGGATCAATACCACACTGATGATTTTCTCCGTCGGCAGATCTTGCAGCGAGAGAGATTGCTGCCACGTAACGGCTTCTTTTTAATGCGACCAGCTGCACATTTATCCGTCCTAGAGTGGCAATGTCGCTGACCAGTAATACCTAGCATCACGCCCCTTACAACGCCCTCTCTCCAGAAACTGTACCCAATATCATAGAATACCACACATACAATTCCCACCAGCGGTCACTGATATCCACATTGGAAACCATGTGGATGGACATAATACTATTATGTATATGTATAAATATATATATATATAAATATATAATGTATATTATACATACACATACACACCCTTACATTCTAACACCAACTTTATTAACCACCGTTTATTAATCACACAGATCCCAAGAGGGGCACTTTCATAAATCCAACAATGGGAACCAGTGCTTTAGAAGAAGCCCCCATACTTCACCAGCATCAGGGAGGAGGGGAAAGAGACTAGCAGTCAGATCTCTGGCTGGGGAAGGGGGACTAACCGACATTTCTCATACAGGTAGAGGGTGTCACTTACTTTAGCAGTCCAAGAACGAATGCACTGAACTTGGTGGAGTTGTTTCGGAGGCTGGGCATGTTATTGATGCTTGCCACCAGCTCGTAGTACGCACGCGAAGACGGGCCTGCGAAAACACAACATAAAAACAACACGTCAAAAACCTACGTAGCAATACGGATGACTTCAGATACGAAGGCGACGGGAGGGACAGGCCGAGCAGGGGGTTGGGTGGTAGGGAGGAAGCGAGAGGAAAGAAGGGTGGGAGGAAGGGGAACAGGTGAGGGAGGACGGAAGGAAGGCAGAGAGGGAGAGGAGGGAGAAAGGTAGACAAGGAAGGATGGAAAAAGACAGGATGAGGAAGGAGAGAGAGAGCGACAGGCCGATAAGGGAGAGAGAAGGGAGTGATCGAGGGAAAAAGAGGAAGGCAAGAAATGATGGAAGAGGCAGGGATGAATGGGAGAGAGGAAGGGGAGGAAGGGAGACAGAGAAGGATAGCGGAGTGCAGGGAGCATCGACACACGACAGAGCGTGAAACATATCCGCGCGATGAAAGGGTGAATGTTGTTGTGAAAACATCGGCATCGTTGGCGAGAGGCTTTAGAAGCTGCAACAGTAACGAACGTTAACGCGTGTCCGTGATGAAAGAAAGAAAGAGGCTTCACGGCTGTTTTGACTAGGAATGGACTGCAGGCCCACACATGCCAAAGATATAAGCATTCTCAACGCTACAGCTCTACTAGCGCATATCGGCTGAATTGCGTATCTGATTATCTAACCTCGGTGTACAAGTATTAGCAAGAGACAATAATAGCAATTATTTAAAGCCCCTGATATATATAGTATATATATATATATATATATATATTATATATATATATATGATAGTTACCGTATACAGAGTGTGTAAATGCGTAAACGCGCCTATAATTAGCGTGATACTAAATGAATCAAGTCAAACTGAAGGTCACAGTTGTTGCCGCTGCATCCAATGCTACTTTGGATTACATCGACATCTATATATAGATAACAGAATTAACAAAAAGAAGCATAGAGAGAGATTGAATCCTCATAGTTATTATCAAGAGCGTATAAAGAAGGCGTATATCAAGAGCGTACCTTCTTTATACGCTCGTTGTGGATTATCCACTCACTGTAATGCTGTATTTTGAGCGTAGAGCGCAGAGTCTAAGAAAGATGGAAACTGACGTGGAAAAATGACGATCCCATTGTATCAGGAATGAATAATAATAAATTATTTATTATTATTCACTCCTGATATGATTGTATTATATATTAATATCTATATTGATCTCCTTATGATGTATCAGATCATGATGAGACAAACTTCCACTAAAAGAGGAACAGAGTTAGATCTGCCTGTAGACATGCATGCCTGATATCTGCTAAAGAAACCACTTTTTTAAAATTGTATATATTAAGCGGGACAACTAAATGAGACGTGAAAGATTCCGTATTATGTTGATCGTGAGAAATTTGGATATTTTTCGTATTGTCATCGCAGCCTTAAGACGCGCAATCAACCAACATAACGAAATCCCTTGCAACGTCAAGCGTCGCATTTACTTCCCTTAGGGCGACTAAGTGTTCCATCGAGAAGTAGTGTCATGTGACCACAAAATTACAAGCTTTGGTAAAATTATACACAAATATATAAGACATATAGTAGTTTGACTAAAAAATTTCGCAGCGTGTGCTACAATTTAATACTATTAGAAGTTTAAATCGTTCTAGAAAATTTCCCAAAAATGTGAGAGAATTATACTGGTTTATATCTCGTCTGTGCTCTGCCTAAAATCCGTAAACGTTTTTGTAAATTACTATATCTACTAATTTACAAATGAGTGACAAATTTCAGAGCAATTTTCTATAAAAATTGAATTCCGGTTTGCCTTTCCTTATAAGGCGTCCAATCATTCGAATACTAGCACCGCAACCAAGTTTACACTTTCCCTGCCGTTGGTGGCGCAAGCTGTTGCGCTAAGACGTTGGTGTGTCATTTCACATTTCAGTTTACGCATCATATAATTTTGTAAACTATACACTTGTGATAGAACACACATTAGTCAGTGATGATTTAACATTAAAAACGTCGATGTTAATACACCTCAATGTTATAATGTTTGGCTCAATACCAAGCATCCTTGAACATGAGATAGATTACAGAGTTAGATCTGTCCCTTGCGAATCGCCTAATATAATGTCTGCTACCAATGAATCACAATTTGTCTGAATAGACAAGGACAATGTTCCAGATTTTAGTTGAGAAATGTCGATCCGCGAGACTTTAAATTAAGCCACTTATATACTCTACTCAACCATAAATACTATTCACTACTACCTTAGCATAGATTATATACAAACACAAAGACACGTGTTTGTATTGACCTAGCTTCTTATAATCGTATTTAAGAATACCTCGTATAAAACAAGACTATAAGAATGCATGCGAACTGGCTGGCGGATCAATGCGATAATTGTCTCGGTCAACTCTGTACGATCGATGCCCTTAAAAGGCTACTGTCGGCATCCACCGGACAATACTGTGTCACCATGAAATACTATAGAGACACCTAGTATATATAGAGTCTAGACCTAATATAATATTCTATGTGTACCATGCACTAGGCCACAGCCTGGTACTGTGCCGAACGCCGATACATACGCCGCTTCTACCTTTGACATCTGTTTGTTCAAGTTTAGAATTGTTCCACAGCGGTTGAAATGTGGTCGAACAAATGTGAGAAAACGATATTATCTCTGTCACAAAAATGCGATATCCAGTTCAGTGGCTCATCTGCCTTCAAAACGGAGCGGAAATCGTGGGCTGTACAGCCAAATCGGTTGATAATGTATAATATCTTCTGTTTTATTTTTAGATTGATTATTTTCACTGCCCACTTTTGAAGAGAGGGATCGACCATCAGTGGCTTCGACGCAACAGGCCTTTTTGCAGCGATATTCAATCATGAAATAATTAGTACATACATACGAATTGTTATTTAACACTATACATATTAACTGTTCATCTACTTCTCGTTTCGGCACTTTTAGTAATCAATTCTAAGTAAATGCGCGTAAATCTTTTCTTGCAACATCGCAACACACACTCCACTTCGGCATGCACACCGCTGTGCCAAACTCACAATAGATAGTCCTTAGGCATTTTACGTGAAATTATAGTCGACTAGGAATACCTAAACATTTAAGACATTGGTCAGTAGAATATAATTGTGTGTTTATTTATACAAATTACTTTTATTATTTGAAAATGAATCACCAGTTATGTGCCCGTGGCTCCAAACCTTGGCTACGAGCTACACGGTGGATCACCAGTTAGATGCGCGCGCCATAGAAGCTTCTGCTTCTGATGATCTATGGCTCTTGATAATACCTAATATAGAATTTACTATTGATCGGTACAGAGACGTAAGAACCATAATAGAATAGGCAGCAATCTATTGTTCGCGACAACCTGAATGTAACAATGTCGACATAAACATCAATGAAACACTTCGGTGACATTTGTCGCAGTGAAAATTCAGTGCATAAAGTACCAGCATTGCTAATCTATATTTAGGTGAAGTACTGAAGCGCTTAAAGTTCAAACTTCACCACCGAAACTTTGACGCGCATATGAGGACAAATTCTCACAGCAATATTTCCAAAATCCCCGAAAAAATCCAAGCGGGCGACCATGCAGCTAACCATGGGGTTAGTCCATGGGAAAAAATTTCTCAAATAAGCGCTAAAAACGATATTTCATCTTTCGTGCTTCTCCAGGCGTTTTATATAGCATATCAATCTCACGAGTGCAACTGCAAGAGTTTACCCTCAGATTCATGACGAATATTGTTTTTTTCACACAAAAGGTTATAAACCGGCCCTGTCGCCAGCAGACAACTCCGTCCAGCATGAATATTCGCGCCAGGACCGTTACGGCGCTGCCACTACAGACACTGAGAGACGGACTAGTTATAGCAATTTTATACGGTTATTCAAACATGTGCTCCGCAACATCCTCGTGCAATTCCGGATTTGTCAACTATGGGCGTGCAAATTGGCGCTTTCCCAAATTTTACAAAACCATCCGCGTTCCAATGACCGCACCCCTCTTGAGGTAGCTGGACGGATCGCACGAATCCTTGAGAGAATTAATGGCATTACTTGTAAATGCTGCAGCTTCCAGCACCGCCCGCGCCACAAACCAGCTTGTATTCGTGAAGACGCTGTTACAACCCCCGATGTGTGGCTACATATTTATACATTTTGATGTCCTGTAATTCTATTTGAAGTGGAAAAGAAATTTGAAACGTCCTAGAAAAATCAGGCCTCCAGTTGCAATGGGAGTTCGAACCTCGTCTGAACCCCATTCTACGCCGGATTCTCTCTTTGAGGTAGCACCTAGAAATTCCTTGTCACGCTAGACTACTTGCGTGGAGCATCTTCAATGTTCACATGAATTTTGAGGGTGCATGCTGAGAGAGTATTTGTGGATGCTAATAACTATTTATGCCTAGTTCCTATATTGTGATGAAACCACAAGATGACTAAGAGCAGATATCGGTTGTGCACGATGGGCGCCGCAGGGGGGGGAGGCGGGGCATTTGCCACCCCCTGAAAAATCAAAAAATTTTGAAAAAAATTACATGAAAATACAAACATAATAATAAATAATCAAAAACTCCTTAAATGAAGAAGAGCCATTTAGACGCAATATTAGTCGCGCCAGCGCATCAAACAGACCAGAAAGAGACTCTCGCGACGGCCAGTCAGTGTAGTGTTTCTGTCAACGTTCTCTCGTAAGTCTTAGCCATAGTGCGCTAAGTGTTATCTTCGGCATTAACATTCAGGCATTCAAACTTTACGGCATGTTTGCGACAACGTGCCCCTGGTCTTCCCAGAGTCTATAACACATAAAATCAAGATGAAAAAGATTAGAAGATAGATAGAGGATGAAAAAGTGCCGACCATTTTGTATCTAAGCTCTTTCTTGGGAGCAAAATTTTTCCAAAGGGGAGGGCGACACCCCTCCCACATCCACGCCGGTTATAAACCCCTCCCCAGCGACCGCCGCCGATCTCAGACAACTGTACCTCTTTTTGC